TGGTTTTTTGGTTTTTTTTTTTTTGAGTTAAAAGTGATTCCTCTTTGCAACTTCACACTCCCTTGTGCATTATGAGCCAACTAAGTTTATGTAGTCCTCATGGCAGAAATGGGTCTTTAGGAACAGTAAAGAAATCAGTATTTCATCCTGTTCAACAACCAACAATTTTCCCTTGCCATAAGGTGAGGACAGATGTGGGAGGCAGGCTAAGTTCCTGGAGCAGCAGAGGCAGGCACAAAGCATCCACAGCCTAATCAAGACAGGCCAGGCAATCTCATCTTTGTGCATCTCCTGCCCAGCCCTTTAAATCCTCATCTGCAATTAGTGATGACATGTTTCTAATCCTCTTCATACAAGCCATCAGAGGATTGTAACTTCATATGGGAAATGTCAGGGGAAGAAAAATACAGAACAAGAATCCTGCCTTCTTACAAAAGCATTCAATAGCAAGGAAGGAGGAACTAAAAAACAAAAAAAATCAGACTGCAAGGTAGTTTGTTTAGAACTAAATAACTCCAGAAAAACAACTGGGCTTTTGTTCCTTTGTGGGATTGAGATCTTGTTTGAGGGTGCAATTTATGCCTGCAAAATTTCATACTGAAGTAGTTGCACTTGTGAGCAGGTATTATCCTCTTCAGATAATAAAGGAAATAATGGTAACAATCAAATTTGTTTCTAGAATGGAACAGTAGCTTAAAAACTGTCAACAAGGATTATTCACAAAGCCAACTATCCTACATATTTAACTCTTTGTTTTGCTACCACTTTCTAGATTGCAAAGTTTTCTTTTAATTTTATGACAATGAACACTGGAAAGGGATCTTTTTTTAATACACAGATGATGTCATATAATGCTTCACCCTCAAATAATGTATATTTATCATACTCAGATAAATGTTATTATTATCATCATCACCATCATTCCTATACAGAGGAAATACATTTTGAACACATTTCTCTTTTTTTCCACTTGTGGCAGGGAGTTTTTGACATTTGAGCATCGACTCTTTCTTCTTATTTTATGCATTTGCCCTCTGGCCATTGTCAACCCCTGCAGTCTGAATAATGAATTCCTCTTTATTGCACTGACAGTGTGCTGTCATTATTGCAGACTTCTCCTCCTCTGGAAGGCTGGTTTGTAAGTTATTTCTGAAAAGATATACTACATATGTGTTTGGGATTTATAGGACTGTACTGATCCATCTTTTTCTGGAACATCAGATGCAGCCACTGTAAATTTAAAGAAAAAGAAAATTCTCATCCAGCTATGGATGTCAAGCCATTTTAGGGAGTATTATCTGCTTCTAACTCCTTGCTACTTTTGTACAGGAAACACAAACTCAGCCCATTATCACAGAGAGATTTCTGTTTGCCTTTGCAGTAAGATTGTAATTTTCTTTATGCCACCTTCACTTCCTGCTGCCTTTTGAGAAGACAAAAACTTGTGTGTGATCTTGAACTTAGATCTTCTGCATGATAGGAAATGATGCTGCCAGCTGAGCCTTTAAAACAGCTGTTGGATTCATGGAAAGCTGTTTTTCTTCCATAATTATCCTAGAAAAAGGTACAATTTAAAAAGTCTTACTTAGGATCCTCCACACAGTAAGAAAGTCACTTTTTTTCTTCTCATGGAATTATTGCAGATGCTATTTTTAACTGCAAAAAAAGCTTTCCTTTCACACATTTCACAAGATTTTTCCAGTTGTGTTTCACAAGACCAAAGCCCTCATAATATCAATATCTTTGCTAAGAAAGGAGGGCAGGAATTGATAGTTCTGGGTTTTCATCACTGGCAGACTTCAACCTGCATAACAAATATTCAGACTTGAAGTAGGAGTACCCTGAGGCTTGAGAAGCAATGGAAACAATAAATGTGTTTCAGAGCTGGAAGCAGGTCCAGAATTTCTTCTGCTGGACTACCTTCCTAGAGGAAGTTGCTGCCACATAAAAACTGAGACTACTGGGAATTTGAGCAGATGTGAAATGATTTTATACTGGGTGAAAAGAAGTTTGGGTTTTGTTCAGAAATATTAAGTCCTCATATGTACAAAACAACTGCAAATCTTTTAAAAGCTTAGCTTCTGTTTATTAAACAAAAGAGGGAGTTCATAGGACTTGGGGTAAGTCCCCTTTTTTTCTGCTTATGTGGGGATGTTCTACCATAACAAAAATTACCCTAATTGTAAATTACCTATTGATAGTTCCAAAAATCCTTATTTCTGCAGTTTTGTAATGTCTTCTTCTCTGTCTTCGGCTGCATTTAGCACTACTCTAAACCCAGCCTCACTTAACTCATTGAGCTTTACCTGGGTTTTTTCTGATGCATAAAAGAAAGCATAAATCCATATGAACATTGCTTTCCAGCTATGTAAAATTCATCTTGGAGATGTCTGTTCAGTTCTTGTGCTGATCCGCTAGGTCCAGGGTACTTACATTTTAATTAAGCCAAAAATGATAAGGTAATGATAATGAAATTATAATGATAATGATAAATGAATAGGTAAAACAGCTCCATCCATGCAGCTGTATCATCAACAAGGACTCCCACATCCTTCCCATTCAGACAAGGTCTTCCCAAGAGCTTGTAGGCAGCTTGCAAATCTCCCTGCACAGGAGTGGCTGGCAGCACTCCAAACAAGATAACAGGGAGCAAATAGGGAGCAAATCTAAGCAGCCAGTGGGCCTCCAGATCCCCTTCAGAGGTCACTTTCCCCATTCAGACAAGAATGACGTCATTGGATGGCAGTGCCAACAATTAAATTCTTGACTGTGTAACCACATGCATGTCAGAAATACTCCTTTTTGCATTTAAGGACAAGGAGAGAAATAGGGAATGCAGTTGGAGGTGGCCTGACTACAAAGAGCTGTGTTGAGATGAAGATGAAAATGTGAAGATGCAGAAGCTGAAAAATAAGAGAAAGTGAAAAGGACAGGCTGCAGGGGTAAAGCATGCATGAAAAAGACTTTGTACTTGTGAAGAAACAGAGCCTTCTTATTTGTTAAAAAAGCCAAATAAAATCTCTGAGGTGTTTAGGTGCTGACTAGGTGTTCTGATACATAAAATTTCTTACCTGGGAATAAAGGTGCAAGATCTCAAACAAGAACTAAAGCCAGCTTCCTCTTCATCCACCCCTTAAGATGGAAATCCTTCTGAGCATTTTAAGATAACCCAAAAATTATCCCAGCTCTTGTGCACTCCTGCAGTCTCATTCAGAGCAGAGTTTTCCCACATCTGAAGGAGTGTGGTGAGAGAAAAGGATGGAGGCAATGGTTGTAACAACTTCCAAACAAAACCAGAAAAAAGGGCCACTCTGCCTCTACCTCAGTCAGTTACTGATGGTCATATGGTGGATGCTCAATGAGATACAGCCAAGTAGGTCATTATGTCCTGAGCATTTTCCCACAGCAAGTCATACTGGCCCCTCTGCCTTCTGTCCTTGCCTAGAGAGAGAAATCTGAATTACAAAGTAGAGTGGGAAAAACAGAGCACAGGTACTCATTTTACTTTTTAAATTATATTACAACTGCCAATAAGTTACATTTTGAAGGTTAATGTTCTATACAAAGAAGACTTAATTTTTGAAAAATGTCTTATGTCTACCAGTGGCATGGGTACAAAAGTATAAAAACTTTTACTTTTCCAAGTTTTTGCAAAACAGGCAGCACTGATTTTGTAACTCATGATTTGCTGGGTGCTCTCACCCTCCCACTAGCAATAATGAAACCAGAACTTCCCAAAGTTGCCCTGACAACCTCAAGAAGCCACATGACCTACTATCCTAGCCTAGCCCACAGAGCAATAGAATCAATAAGGCTGGAAAAGAACCCCAAGATCATCAAATACAACCCTTGACCAAACACCACCTTTTCAACTAAACCACAGCACTAAGTGCCTCATCCAGTCATTTCTTGAACACCTCCAGGGAAATTAGCCATAATGCCAACAAACGTGTCTGTAGCCATCCTCAAAACCTGCCCCACGAACACTCTGAGCTGAAAGAACTCATCTGATACCAACTAACAGCCAAAAGTTAGCATAATTATATTCTGGATAAATTACCATGCTATTTGATAATGTGTGAAAAATTATTAGGTTTTATCATTTTTTTCCCAGAAAATCAATGACATTTCCTTATTTCTTTTGTCATTTTGTCTTCTTTTTGTTCATTTTTCTCACTGACTGCTATTCTCCTTTGAAACAAGAACTGCTTTTGTTATCTGATTTTCTACATTTTAAGCACATTAGCTATTTAAAGATACTATATTTAAAATTAAATCAGCTTGCTCTTGGTAGAATGATATATTTCTGCACTACACAGTGGAGACTTTTCACAGTGCATATTCTTTTGCATTACAGTTCCTCTTTAGGCAGTTGCTTGCTGTGAGACACTGCTAACTGGAAAAAAAAAAAAAGAGATATTAAAGTTGGGAGAATGCAAGAAACAATGCCTTGCAGTTCAAACATCACATACTCTGGCATGTCTATCTCTTTAGCTAAATCACAGCAAGTTAATAATGCACATTGCCAAGTGCCCCGGGCTCCTGCTGCAACCAGTGGGAGTTGAGAATTAGCACCTGACAGATGCACTCGGTGCTAAAAGCTTGAGACACAGTAAAACTGCTGGTTTGGCCAAACAGCTCAGGCTTCCTTCCCCCTTTCCTTTAACTGGTCATTTATCTTCAGGAAAGTACAAGTCAGGCCTTTCGATTTCTTGAGTTCCTCAAGTGGAGTCGATTTCTGGCGTGTCCAATCCTGCAAGGCCCTTTCTGGTCGTTAGCTCATTCCAAAGTATTTCTGTCATCACCAGCTATGCTCTTGTGTGAACTCTGAGTGGGGGGAGCTCCTAGCACTGGTCTCTAAGCTTTTAAACAATCATTCCCAGTTATATGAAGAGATCCTGAAAAGTACAGTTTAGGCCTTTCTGAAAAATCTTTTTCTTCCTCTGAAGCAGACATCGTTCATTGTCATTTACAGAGCCTATATTATGTTTTTTTTGCAGGTTTTTGGCAGTATCCAGTGTTGCTAAGGCTGATTGAATTCCTACTACCAGTCCTATTCCCAAAGGCAGCTTTTCTAAGGTGATTGCTGACACAGGAGATGGTGAGTTGCTTTCTACCCTCACACACAGAGACTTCATACACGTGTATGTGATGTACCTGCTTTAGAGATCAAATTCATTTGGTTGGGTCTTCAATAGGAATTCTGCAAAGCAGGTTGAATACAGAGTTTTGCTGACCTCTGCCAGACTGACCTTTTCTTGAAGTAATACAGGAGGAGAAAAGTCTGCACTGCAAAAAGCCTCAAGTGGGAGCAGGGAAATGCAGCCAAGTGAGGGTTGACCTCTGGGGTTATTGAAGGCTTAATGGGGCAATCTGAGCACACTCAGTGCAGTGGAAAGCTGCAGAGCAGCCAGGAAAAGATGTCAAAGTGGACAATCAGTTTAGAAAAGGAGAGCAGTGGCTGACAAAAGGATGACTGAATAAATGAAGAATGTCCAGCCCAGTCAGAGAAATTCAGGTACCACAGAAGAAGCTTAGTCTGCAGTCCTAGGTCTGAGCGACCTTCTCCACAGCCTTGGACATTTAAACACTCAACAGCTACTTTAACTGAGAGGAAAGAAACAATGGTGCCAATATAATGCTTCATTGCACAGATATATTTTAAAGACTTAACCTTTGCAAGACATTTTGAAGATGGAAAGCCCAGTAGCACAATGATATTTTGTGAGAAGACTTTTCTCAAATTTTGCATTAGCAAAATGCGTGATTTTATTTATGGTTTTGCCTTCTGCCGTTTTACCAAGTGACTTTTTCCATAGCCTAATTGTAGATTTTTAACAACAAAGATGAAATCCCAAAATCCTTGTTTCCTGTAGTCATTCAAATACAACCGCTTAACATTGATAGTGTTTCAGAAAGGACAATTGGTTTGAATAAAAAAAGGTTTAAAAACAGAAGGATAAAACTTCCTGCTGCAGTATCGGGAGAAAAAATTGTCATTTAACACGGAGACATGTGAATAATAAAGCAAAAAGAAACAAAGTAAATCTTCAGCAATCATTTAATTTCCTGAGAAAATGAACATGAAATATGATTGCTCATAAATGAACATGAAAATTTCACATGTTGAGACGGAGTAGACATGTGCCACTGTTTGACAGTCAGAGACTTTCTAAGGTATTTAATCACATTGTTTTGTTTTTTTTTTCACTAGAGAAAGAAAAAGCCCCTTAAGGCTGATGTGTTCCCATGTTCAGTTCTCCTTACCCTCATCTATATCTACACAAGCTCTGACCCCTATCATCTCAGGATTGTGTCCACACTCTGAAAGATACAGCAAATTGCACTTTAAAAGTCTGACAATAATAGGCAAAGACAAGGTTTCTGCATTTGTAATAATAGAAAAAAATTAAAAATATCACTGGGTAGCTGTAAAATAGATTAAAGTCACCCAGTTGGTTCATGGTACTGTTAATGATCAAAACTAGATCAGAATAGGGCCAGTTGCAGCCCTTACAAGCCTTTGCTGCTTCCATGAAGAATATATACAAAAAGACAAAGTTCCCAGACATGTATTATTTCCTACTTGTAAACTGGATTTTACCTGGGCCAGGATTTCCTCCAGCTGCCATCTGTACACTTCATAGAGAAGAGGAAGACTTTTATTCTGTATCTGGGAAGTTCAGCAGATTCAGGTGTGGGGAATGCTTGGTTTTGAAAGCTTCTCTTTTCTTTACTCTTGTCATTTTTAAAACCTATTTACTCTCTTCTAGTTACTGGTGTTTGTGTAATGAAAGAGAAATTTTGGCTGTTCCGTTATTCTACTATAATACCTGTGGTGACATTAGAAAGAGAAATTACCTGGTAGGAGAAAATGAAAGTGAAGTATAAACAGGGCTTCTGTTTCTCATGGAAATGGTTTTCCTGGCTGCATGCTTGTTTCCAAAAGACAATGACAGGCTGGCAGCTTGGAGAAAACAGGTCTTGACAGCACATGTTAGTGAGCCAAGCATTTTCTAACACCTTGTGTCACACAAAGCACTTTCATACCATCTGTGCTCCAGCAGTGAAGGGCTGTTCTGTCCCAAGCACAGCCTTTTGTCTTTGCATAGGCACAGCAAGCAGAGAGCAGGTTTACAACACCCGTCTGAGGCTGGATGTGTGTCAGCTCCTCCGGCAAATCCTCTGTGTGTCCCTGAGTGCCCACAGCCTGCCAGGAGCACCAGCACTCCTCAGCAGACAGGCAGAGAGGAGTCAGATGGGAACTGGTTTTCTTCTTTAATGCTGCCTTGCCTGGCTGAAGATAAAAAATAAAGATGGGAGGGAGAGGAAGAGGGAATGCAGTTCAAAGGCAAGCACGTGCCTCATTAGTGGTAACTATGCAAGTTCCTTTTACTCTATAATATTTTTCAGCACCTTTTCAAATATTTCTTTTTAAGAAAGGATTTTATAAGGACAACATATTTCTAAGATAAATATAAGTAGCACAATCCGCAACATAAATAGAGACCAGGAGGGTAATTAGAAAGCGTATCTTGATTACAATAAATTGCCTTTGTTGAGCAGCTCTGGTGTTTGCCATTAATAAGTTGCAGGTTTCTCAGTGCTGGAAGAAGGAAAATCATTAAAACTAACACTTACGTAAGTAGCATAAAGGATTATCCCTGATATCATTATCAGGCATAGGTTTTGTGCGAGTAAACTCCCATATGCCTATGGCAGTTTAAAAGTAACTAAGTTGCCAAAATTTTATGTGATGTGTCAGAATTAAAAAAAAAAAAAAAAAAAAAAAAAAAGGCAAGATCTCTGGAAAGAGAAAACAGCCTCTCCCATACAGTAAGTAAGCCCTAAATGCAGTCTCTCCTTCCAGTATTGTCATCTTTGAGGCTCAATATTTTTCTCATTATCATCCCTTTTTCATGGATTTTTTTTTCTTACTCTAATGAATTTCTCGGGCACATAGATATTTTCTTGGCTATCTTGCTTCATTTTGCTGATGGAAGCAGCCTTTTAATTTAAGACATTATTATTAAAAGTAATGCATGAAAGGCTTATCTGAAAGATATATTGGGTTGGCAAGAGATGCAAATCAAAATACAACTGTCTAGGTACTCAATTATATATTTTAATGGCAGAATTTGAGAAAAGCTCAGGCAGGAAGGAAAAAGATACTTATCAGCATCTACCATTTAAATTACCAGCATATTGGTAGACTGTTCCTATATCTCATACCCCTCAATAAGGCTGAGACTGAAGCTGGGTCAGTGGACAGCAGTTGGCTTGTGAAATCTCCATCCTTGGAATACACAGACAGCAGTTTTTCAGAAGCACAAGATATCTTTGCTTTTTTTTTTTCTCCCACGGATTAAGTGCTTGCATCTTCCAACATCTGGTAGGCTACTTCATCTTTTGTAATCCATGTAAACATTTACCATCTACTTACCTTTGAATGGACTCCATAATTTTTTTCTTTGGTGTCTCAGGAGATACTCTCTGTGACTTACCCTGACGGTGCTCCACAGGAATGCACATTCCCAGTGGAGTGATGCCTCCACTGGGGCACTCATCAGACATTCAGCCGTCCCAAATATAGTTGGGACAGCTGAATGTCTCATGGGGATTACTTTTAGGTTTCAAATTTGCAGGGCTTTCCTTCTTAGTTCAGTACAACACAAGTGACTGAAGTTTATTGAAGAGGGCAAGAGCTCCTGTACATGACCAGAGAGGGTGCCAGCAAGTTTAACCCCTGCAGTGCCCCACAGAACTCAGCCTTAGCTCTTTGGAGCTGATATGTTCCTTACTGCTCAGCCTCCTGGCAGCCACCTCAATCCAAGACCTTTGCAATGCAGCAGAGGTTGCAGGGATCTCTGTAATGCTGGGATCTGGGATCAAGCATCCTGAACAAGTACAAGATCAGAAAATAGGTACACAGATTCTTCTAAAACATGAATGAAGACTCTCTGTAACTTACTCCTTCCTAAAGGGGAATGTAATGCAGATTTTAGGAGCCAGCCCTTAAGCTCACCTATTGCTGTGCATGTAAGGAAAGCAAATGTGCTCTGAAAGAAACCTCAAGGTCATGGAGTACTCTGCTTCCCTGTAGAAGCACCTCCAGCAGAACAGAGAATAAGCTTGTCATCTCACTCTGTAATTGATTCATATCTAATACACATCTTAATTTTATTTTTTAGTTGCTGTCAATCTTTTTATTTTATAGCAGTCTGTCAGTTGCAAACTGGCTTGATGGTCAAACAAAACATCACCACATAAATATTAATGTTTTTTTATTTGTAGAGGCTCACCTTAAACAATTTTTGGTGTTTGTAGGAAGCAACAATGCTGGTAGTGGTAAGTTTTGTCCCATCACTGAGCTAGAGCTCATCACAACTCTTGGATCATCTACTTCTATTTCTGATCTCTGTACCTGCACTCTTTTAACATATGCACCAACCTAGACTTTTAACAGCAGCTTAACAAGAAGTCATCATGGCAGAAAAAAGTTTAAAAAGGAAAGCTGAAATGAAGGGAAAGTTCCTATTTAAAATGGAAAACTGAAAAGAAGATAGGCCCTGCTTGCATTAGAGTTTCATTTTGGCATAGTTCCCATTAATATAGAATAATTGCTTCAGCGGGGCTTTTTTGTTCAAATATTTAGAAATTTGCCTGACATTCACTCACATCTTAACAGCCTTAGCTACTTTAAGAAGGATTGATAATTTAGAGATTGTTTTACTTTCATACAATAGAGTTAATTCAAAGAGTTTTATCAAAATTCTCACCTGTTAAATTTGACTTTGAGGTTATTTTAATTATACTGGAACATTCTAACTTGTTAAAAAAGTCACTGAGATGCCAAACTTCAATCAGAAATTCAGGACAATTGGTACAGACACTGAGGCAGAAGAAGAGGACCTATCAGAAGACTGTACTTAATGAGATTTCCACAAGACATCTGAAAAGCTGACCTTTGCCAAGTGCTTCTTTTATCATGTATTGCCAGAAATATGTTACTTCTTTAGGTTATGTATCTGCAGTAGAGTCTATCAGCTGAAATCATGCAAGTTGTAATTCTGCTGAAGTCAGTGCACTCTGGGGAGGACA